ACTGTATTGGTAAATAAATATATATATATGTATATGTATATAAATTAATTTACCTGCTGGAGAGACGGTGAAAGTTTCATGCCATTTCCACCGAGGAGCTGGAAAACAGAGGCGCGCAGATCCCGCAGAAACCACGAATTTTAGGGGAAATACTTGAGGTTTAATCGTTTACAAGATCATTTCTAGGCATGTTGAAACCAAAATTGGGATAAACTGTAGATATACTTGGTAAATGATCGTTGAGCACTATTTAATATGGGGTTATACTACCCCTTATGTATTGGGGATTATCCTTTATATAAAGGGGTTTGAAATTTGAACAGTGCTGAATTGGAGTCAATGATGGGCCCCAGAACATGACATGTCTATCTATCTACTGCAATATAATCCAAGAACAAACAGTCCTCAATTGATTGAATCCATCCCTGATTGGAGGCCTTCGGTGGGTTTACCACAGTACATGCCAATGTATATGTCATGTATTGTGATATTGTGATTCGAACTCCACATACATGTTAGTTGGACGATAGGTTCACGGCGATTAGTGAACCTCATTCACAAGAGGGAACAGTGCTTTCATAGAAACAGCAAAGATGGGAATGTATGCTTTAGCAATCAAGCATGGCAATGGAAAATCGTAATTCATAGTTGATTGTTCCCATTGACATGCACATTTACAAGGGATTTTCCATTGCCATATTCTTGTTTGAAATGATTCCTTCAAAACCTTACAAAACACAAGAAATTATCGGGATTCGGGCCCAACTTGAGCAAGACATGAACTTCTTACTGGTGACTTAGTAGGGAAGGGGGGAATGGGATGATTGTTACTAGTAATTATGGATCATTCCCCCATTCCTTACGAAGCAACACCGACATGTTAGAGTGTACTGGGCACCATGCCCCATAGTTAGTTAATTACTGTATACGTTGATTTACAGCTAGGCTAACTAGGGCATCACACTGAAACAATGAGAGATCAACCTGTTGATTTATACTAGGATGCTCAAACAGATATCGCACTCGAAGTATCAAGGTGCCCACCTTTTAGGTGGGCACCTTGTTTTACCCTCTGGTAATTTAACAGTTTGTTATTGAAAATTGCAATTTATAGTGGATTTTCCCATTAAACATGGTGGTTTTCCATAGTTATGTTAGTTTACCAGAGGGTCTATGATATCTGATCCGCTGTTACGCGGCTGGCACGACGTCATCTGAACATTTGGCCCGAAAAGGTGGACCCATGGCTGAAGATTCCATCACAAGTCCCTTTTGCCGTCACATGAAATTACGGTGATTTAACATTAACATTAATATGTTACATAGTTATGATAGCTATGGAAAATTGCCCATGCCTTATGTAATTTATGGTTATGTTTGTTCTCCATGTTCTCCATGTTATATGATATCATGATGTATCATGACTTATGTAACTTAGTTAAATTGCCTTAAATTGCTATGGTTGTGTTAAATGTTAGAGGCCTCTAGAGGCTACTCGCTTCCCCGAATGATGGGGATCATCAGGAATTTTCGGCGAAAGATGGGCGGAAATATCATGGAGGCAGCCGGGAGGCAAGGGAACTGAGGTGCAGCGAAAACAACATCTTAGACCTGGTGAAAAAAAAGGTAGTGAACTGGAGAATCACGATGTTTTGAAAATTGGTAAAATCATTTTTTTACATATTTTTACCATTTGTGAATGGGCCATCTATACTAAACTGTTAGATAACTCTAGAGGGCACCAGCAAAAGCAGCAACATGTACCTTGGCGTAAAAAGTAGTTGCAAAGATTGGGTTGAATTTAGGTGACCAAGTACCTAGGAAGGATTGGGATACAGAGGGACTGATGTTGCATCGCTTGATTGTGCTGTTGAAAGCACTTCCGACCACTAAACATGTCCGAAAAACGCAACGTTACATTTACTGGTTGGTGGTTTGGAACATGAATTTTATTTTTCCATATATTGGGAATGTCATCATCCCAACTGACGAACTCATATTTTTCAGAGGGGTAGGTCAACCACCAACCAGTATACAGACGCATAGTTGCGCTGAGATGTAGCAAACCAGACACTTTTGTCATGTCCCAACTAATCTCCCGCCCCAAGGGGCGTATCTATCATCTATAGCTCTGCGTTCAACATGGCTCCGGGATACCCCGTTCTGAACATGGTTCGATGTGAATCATGAAGAACATGGTGATCCACCCTGAGAGTTGGAGTACCCAATGATCAGAGAAACAGTCGATTCACCACGAAGAATGCGAAGATTTCGGCAGTGGAAAACAGCCGGTCAAGTTTTCCGTTGGAAATTCTTCCCAGTGTCTCCAAAAATGTTGTCAAGTTTCTTGATGATTTGGCTAGTTGCTGGTCCAATGATTTTTATATGGGCCTCCAAGGCTTTATCCATCCAGTTATTCCCAGCTCTTGTTGATTCCCATCATTGGTTGATTTCCACATATTTCCAGTAATAGTAGTAATAGTATGTAATAGTACTAGTAGTACTAGTAGTAATAGTAGTAGTACAAGGTGGGTCCCCCCCAGTTATAAATGGCTTATAATCCCATGAAAACTAGTTCTTTTCAGATCACCAACAAAAACCAGCCAGTGAAATTGGACTTTTTTTTGGCACCGCACCAACCAACTTAGCGATTTCGCGAGACTTAGCGAACAAAGGGGCACCAGCCTTTTTTTGGGGGGGACCACATTCTCAAGATCTTCTTGGTGGAATCTCGTGTTATTTTTTTTGAGCGCTCGGATCTTAAGTGACCATGAGCAACTTGACGTTGAAGAACATGAACATGTAGAAAAACACGTTAGTTGCAAAATTTCCACATGACATTTAAAGAGATTTCCACATTTGAATGCTGGCGGCCGGGCAGACTCAAATGAAATAATGAGTGATTTGAGTAGTAAGAACGGGTGAGCGAGAAAGAAACACCAGGGTGATGTCACAAACAGCAGATTTTGCAGTGCTTGATTCTGCAAATGCCATAATCTCATGCGGTTGGATCCTCAATCTCTTGGAATTCGTTGAAACATTTGTTTAAAGATGTTTAAATGAATTCACTAGGGTCCCCTACTACCCTGGATTTGTTTAATAATTTTCGGTTTAAACACACTTTAAACCAAACATGTTTAAACCGATTAAACCAACCCTAGGCACAACCCTGCATTAGAACCTCCATATTTATAGTGGATTCCCACATTTCCCAGCCACCTTTGATTACCAGAGGCTAAATCTCCAATTTTGCTGGTAAAATATCCAGTCCATCCCTTTTCTTCATATCAATGTTAGATATGCTAGATCATCTATCAAAACTTGCTTGTTGGGTAAAGTTCCAACCTAGAATATTTTGACAAGAAGCACATGTTCCATTCACATTTCCCAATGTTCCCGAATTTTCCCATCTTCACAACATGTAACTGGTTGGTGGTTTGGAACATTTTTTATTTTTCCATATATTGGGAATGTCATCATCCCAACTGACTTTCACTCCATCATTTTTCAGAGGGGTAGGTCTACCACCAACCAGCTATATATAAGTAACTAAGTATGATAATCAATGGGATGATAAGCACCATATTTTGCACCATACAATCACCATGAATATTTCGGGTAGGTTTTTCCCACCAAGCAGTTTTTTTATTAACCTTCATTAACCATATAATAACCATTAATATTAACCATTATTAACCATATAATAACCATTAATATTAACCATTATTAACAGTATATTTTCAGAGGGATAGGTCAAATCACATACAATCACCATTAATATTTCGGGTAGGTCAACCACCAGTAATTAACTAAGTATGATAATCAATGGGATTAAACCATATTAAACCATATTAAACCATATTAAACCATATTAAACCATATTAACCATATATAGACTAGGTCAACCACCAGGTAACGATTTCTGGGTTTCAGGAAATCCGTGAGTTTCGTTCCGTCGGCGCCGCAGGATCGGATGTTTGCAGGTTCGGCCCAGGTGAATCTGTCAGGCGCGTTTTTGGGATTTCGGTTCGCCCAGGGGTTTTGAACCAGCAACGAAAAATGGGAGATCTCCAGGATCCTAAAATTTTGGTGATTTGCAACTGGCGAAAAGTTAGATGGGATTTGTGGTAGATATATCTATGATATACCTATAGTATCCTATAGTCAATGGGAATTCCAGGATCCTAAAATGGAGGTACGTAAACGTACCATATTTCTGGCCATATGAATTCTGGGGATATTCCCTGAAATTTAGCCCAAAAACATTTGGAGATTGTGAAAGTAAACAGTTTAGGGCGGTTTCAGCGGCGATTTGAAATTTGGAGAGTTACCACTTTGACCATACGGGGTGAAGCTGGCTTTGAGATGCAACGTGAAAGTCGTTGATAGTCCAAGCCCCATAGCTGTGCTTCATCTTTAGATCTACCCTCTGGTAAACCAACGTAACTATGGAAAATCACCATTTTTAATGGGAAAATCCACTATAAATGGCCATTTTCAATAGCTATGTTAAATTACCAGAGGGTATACATCTGGGATGATCTTTGTCGAAGTGGTAGGGGAATCCTCCCAAAAAACAAAAAGGTGTGTCTCAGGTGAATCATGTCGTTGAATCCATGTCATCCAGGTCGTAACTACCCAGAGTTTATGAGTTTTCAATGGCGAATTTTGACATATACAAAAACGTGTTTACCATTTCGAATGCCAACATGATAAAACTTCATCATCTTCGAAATGGTGTCAGTTGTTGCTGGCATCCCCACCTCAATGATGTCATGAATTTTGGGCTATGTCAGTGCCGTGTTGTGAAGTTGCAGCGACAGAACTTCAGTTGTTTGTCATTACAGGGTTACCTTCCAGAACCTTGCAATGGAACATCCCCCACCTATATATACTACAAGTATGTTTGCATTTAAATCATGTCAACCCCGGATCAATAAACCTTGTTGTTTTTTTTTTGTGGGGGTACCCCTCCCCAGTGATCATTTGCTACTCGAAAGGAGCTTTGAGATCGGAATCATCAACGATGTGCCTCAGCCGGTTGGAACCCAGTGCTTTGTGGACCATGCTATATGCTGAATGTATCTCCATGTATGGTATATTTACCTACAAAACTGTGTCATTTGTGGGGGAAATGTTGGTAAACATTCCATATATAAATATTCCATACATGGAGTATAAGATATTGAACTGTCAAAAGTAGCATTTAGAAAGCTCAAACACGGGGATGTGAGCGGATGGTAAGCCCTTTATCATGATCTTTTTCATGCCCCCCAATCGAAACCCGAAATGTGAATGTGATCCAGTCCTCCCAAGGCAAAGCTGAAACCTGCGTCAAAACATGTTTTTTTTTGGCCACTGTAAGGATTGCCATGGCATGGGATGACCAAGGGCTCCAGGCAGTGTTGAAAAAAATGTTGCTGGTGTTTTCTGTTGTTTCAGGGTGACTATTTCTGATTGATCCATACTTTTGAGGGGTGTTTTTGCGCGGTTATGCCTATTTTTCACTGGTGAAACATGTTGAGACCTAAAGCCCTGATATCCAATGTTGGTGACATCCCGGGTTGAGGCTGTGGCCTTTTATAGGAGTAGATGTGGTAAACTCAATGCCACAAACAATGGTGATGACTTGGGGATTATGAGATTTGATGGGAATTCACCATGTTTTTCATCAAATTTAATCAACAGTTCTGGTTGCCAACATTTTCCATCGATAAAAACGCGACAATGGTGCCAATTCAAAATATGATCATTGGTGCCGCAAAAACTAATAATGGAATCCCTTTAAAACCCAATAAAACCAAAAAAATCCATATGACCCCCCATAAAAACCCTCTAAATCCCCATCAAATCCTCTAAAATGCAAATTTTTGTTTCCACCGAATTGCCCAATAATACCATCTTGTGGACTTGTGGCGCCCAAATTCATCGCCGTCCCGATTTTGTCCCACGGCTCTAGGCGGTTTCCTAAGCCATTTTAGATACCCCAATAGCTCGCTGGATGGTTTATGGAAAATCCATCAATGGATGAATTGGGGGTACCATTTCAGGAACCCTCCATTTTTTATCATCTATGGTGGTTTACATATGGAGGTTTACATACCTGGAGGTTGTCGAAAGTCTCATTTCCTGATATGTTCACCCTACTAGTGGGGATTTTTGTTGATCCCCCTGACCAGTAATCGCGTAATCGCATTCCCCAAAATGCCCCGGATACCCTCTGGTAAACAAACAAATGGCCCATTTATAGTTGATTTACCTATTAAAATTGGTGATTTTCCAGTTCGCTATGTAAACGTTTACCAGAGGGTTTTTTCAAGCACCCCCCATGTGGGCATCCAGGGCCTCCAAAATCAAAAAAGATCAGTACCAGAACCACCCCCCTCTGGTGCCACTGCGGGGTGTTTTCCACTAGGGCAGGCAAGACCAGGACGCCCCAGAGCTAGGAAATGAAACACCAGTTCCATCCGTACCCTCTGGTTATGACTAACATAGCCATGGTATAGATGCCCATAGAAATAGATGGTTTACCTATGAAAAATGGTGGATCTTTCCATGGCTATGTAACAAATAACCAGATGGTATATTTAAATGTATGTGTAAACTAGAGTGGATTCCGTATGTTTTTTCATGGGCCAAGGAAAACCATCCCGGAGGTAGTCTAAAATACCAGTTCGTATGTTTAAAAATCATTCAACATCCGTATATTTACCCTCTGGTTATTTAACGTAGCCATGGAAAATGGCCCATTTATAGATGATTTTCCCATTAATACCTCCATTTATAAGGGATTTTCCATGGCTATGTTACTAACCAGATCGTAAATGTAGTTACCGCAACATTTACGGAAACCTTTTCTATTTGAGGGTGAAAACCTATCGTTTCCTGCAAGGTGGTGCTTGCCAGTTACGTTGGTTTATATGTAGACAATTGTAGATATGTTTATCACAAACTATGAACATCCTTTAATTATACAGTGTACATATATAAATCATATTCATAATATATACATATATATGATTATATGTATATATATATAGGCACACATATCTACCATAAACTCAATCGTTCGAGTTATTTCAAGTCATTCCAACCAACGCGATTCCAAACCCTGGATGGGGTGACTCAACAGCCGCGTTTTCCCGAGGAAAACTTCGACACAGCGCTGGAGTTTGATGTGGTCCTTTATGATCCTCAGTGCCTGAGCGAAGTATTGTTGGGACAGCCCTAAGTTTCGGCCTGTGCTGGGTTTATAACTGGCTGAATTCTATGGTTTATGGTGTGTGTATATATATATATAGATAGATAGATAGATAGATAGATAGATAGATAGATAGATAGATAGATAGATAGATAGATAGATAGATAGATAGATAGATATCTATATAGATAGATAGATAGATAGATAGATAGATAGATAGATAGATAGATAGATAGATAGATAGATAGATATCTATAGCTGTAGCTTGTATTAATTAGCCATCCTGAAAGAGAACCGTATAATTTAGAAATAGACATAGCAACCAATTATGATTAAATCATTCACTTAAACTTGCATAGAACTCTCATAATGGGAATGGGTTGAGTCGTAATTTGCATTGGGTCATTTGCATCAGGCTTGTTCCCAGTATGGCACTGGGATGATGTAGACCCGGGATTGATAAAGCTTGGTTGATAGAGAGAGGTTCTCAGCAAAAGCATGGAGAACCATATGCAATCATAGGGATTTTGATGGACTTTGTCTAGCATGAAATGTGGATACCAACAGCGGAGCAATTTGATGGGCGTAAACAAGGTCACGCGCGGGTATTTAACCTGGTCTCATTTGTGTCTTCGACAGCATTTCGTCCTGTAAAATACAGGAGTTTGTGTTATTGGGGTAAATTCAGCCGTCGCGGCGCGTTTCGTTTTCACTCATTTCAATTTTCCGAGGTGAGACTTCAAGTCTGCAGTGACTGGTAAGTGGTATCGCCAAACAAAGGCATGCATATACAAAATCAATTTTTGATTCAAACCACCTTTGGACCAGTCTTTGTTGTTCAAAGAGGAAGGAATGAAACGGTCAAGCGATTGCCACCATCTGTCCACTGCTTGAGTTCCAGCAATGGTGGCTCCAGGTTTCTTCCAAGTTTTCAACTTTCGAGTGAACTGTTGTTTTCAATGCGTAACTGGAAAATTTTTGATCCTTTTCTCTTTGCACAGGCTCTCCATTTCGATAAAACCAAGAAAAGTCAGTGCTTGCAAGGTTTCTTCCATTTGAACCACTGCTGCAACACACTGAACTTGCACTGAAGATCATATGATGCAAAGATCACTTCTAGACATATACTATATAGAAAAAACAGTTTGGAATGTAAAATTAGGTGAGTTCCATACATAGTTATGCCCATATATACATACAACTCATAGACGTAAGTCCCCAACTACAACTAGAACCGCAAAAACAAACTAGCATTCGACAAGTCCCCGGAATCCGCAGGGCAATCTGGGCGACCATACCTGAGAGACGGGGCGGATGCGTGTACGATGTATATCGGTGTAACAGTACGATACATACGAAACAAGGAAGGGTGTCGAATATATTCGTTTCAAGATACATATGGTCACTATGTTGAGAAGAAATCGAAAAAGTCGCAGCGTACAACATACATGCTGTTAGTAGCATATGGTAAGTATGGAAGATAACAACACAATCTCTTGCAAGGCTTCATATATGTGCTCCTTATCATCCCACCCCACCCCATTCCACCCAAGACGTAGCATGACCTAGCCAAGTTGGTAGCACCAGGACATGACGTCAACGTAACACGACGTTATCATCCCACCCCACCCCACCCCACCCCACCCAAGACGTAGCATGACCTAGCCAAGTTGGTAGCACCAGGACATGACGTCAACGTAACACGACGTTATCATCCCGCCCCACCCCACCCCACCCCACCCCATTCCACCCAAGACGTAGCATGACCTAGCCAAGTTGGTAGCACCAGGACATGACGTCAACGTAACACGACGTTATCATCCCACCCCACCCCACCCCACCCCACCCCACCCCACCCAAGACGTAGCATGACCTAGCCAAGTTGGTAGCACCAGGACATGACGTCAACGTAACACGACGTTATCATCCCACCCCACCCCACCCCACCCCACCCAAGACGTAGCATGACCTAGCCAAGTTGGTAGCACCAGGACATGACGTCAACGTAACACGACGTTATCATCCCACCCCACCCCCCCACCCCACCCACGACTAAAATACCCAAAAAACGCCCAAAACTACCAGGTTATTTATCAGCACGCCTCCGTAAAGAACGCCATATTTTGATGCGGATGGAGCGACCAAGAAACAGCCTCAAAAATCGAGTACCAAAGGATTTTCACAACAAGGTGGTATTCCGCAGTCATTTTTTGCTGATTTTCAGAGGGACGAGGATTTTAACAAAATTGACCAAGCGCCAAAAGAGCGAAATGACCCAAAAAAGCCACCGAGCTTGGTAAATGTCCTGTTTTGGGGATTTTGTTGACATCACTCTCTTTCAAGTATCTGTTGGAGACAATATCCCCAACAGTTGGCTGCTGAAAATAGGACATTTTCCAACTCCACCATTGAATTTCAGGGCACTCTATTTTCAGACCAGGAGACCACAGGAGATTTCAGCGGTTCACCGTGGGAAAACACCTCCACCATCACCAACAGCTCTTGGGCATCGCTCAGCTGTTGGTCGTATGGACTTCCACGGCAACATGTGTCTGAAAATGGGGGAGTGTACCCCTTAATTTATGATCATTTTTAGAATGTGACAATAATTTATGATCCTATGTTCTTTTTGAAGAATTACCCTCTGGTAAAGTAAAATAGCCATGGAAAATCACTGTTATGAATGGGTAAATCAACTATTTCTATGGCCATTTTCAATAGTTAGCAAACTGCAACAAATTACCAGAGGGTTTTTCTGATGGTTTTCTCGGTGATTAAGAATATAGTTATGATAAATTATGATTATATGGTTAAAAAATCATGATGACATAGAGAGTCTGTATGTTTTTATATGATCCCAGTAAATCCCATAAAACCCCATTAAATCCAAAATTTAGTCATCACAAAACCCCATTAAGTCACCATAAAACGCCGTTAAATCCCATGATAAGTCGATTTATGTTCATTATTTTCCCCAGGAATCGGGCCATGATTTCGAATGTGATGACCCAGGGGGATGACCCAGGGAGGATCCATGGGACTTCAGCCCAGCTTGTGGCGCCAGGAACTGCCTGTTGGATCCCAAATTCTACAGCAGTAGTGTCACTTGGGATTTCTGATGGATTTCTGGTGTGGATATATGTAGTTGGTGCTGACTGGAACATGAATCTATGGTGAATCTATGGTTAATCTATGGTGAATAATGGTTAATAATTGGAATAACAATATATCTGGTCAGTGGTGACTGGAACCATGGAATTTTGAATGACTTTCTATTCAGTTGGGAATGTCATAAGCCCAACTGACGAAGTCATATTTTTCAGAGGGGTTGAAACAACCACCAACCATATAATTTTTGTAATTTTCCCCATGGGGAAATCCACTACTTGGGGAACCATAGGGAATATTTTGTTCATTTGTTTGGGGGGGTTCCTGGAAAGGACATCAAGGTCATGGAGATAACCGTTATGGGTCCCCCACTGGAACTGCACCCCCAAGTAGAATCGCAAGAACAAGAAGAACAGGAAGTTCCCGGTTTCAGGTGTAGTGTTTCTTGCTTGATCCCGCTTTCACAGTTTTAGTTTTTACAATAGCAATAACTATCTTTTGCATGATGTGCCCAAAAAAGATGGGTTGAACATATGTTGCCCTGACATTTCTTGCTGAGATCCCCGTATTTTTTTTAGTGACTTAAACACGGGGCTTATGGGTTTACCGTATGTTTTACCAGCATTTTTGCTTGCTTGAATCGATGAATTCCCCATTTGCCAGAAGATTACTGATGTTTCTCCACCAGAAAAAGGGGGAATCACCACAAAATAGTGGGTATTCCCAAAATCATGGATAATAATGGCTAATCCCATGGATTTTGCTTGTTAACCAATAGTTTTCTCTATTTCTCCACCAGAAAAGGGGGCAAATCGCAGGTCATGATCTTGGACGATGACCTCTTTCCCTCCAACGATTTCCGAGATGAAATCGAAGCCAAGGACGGTGCGGCTTTTTTTTTTGAATAAATGTAGAGTTGATCAGCCAGACATGCTGATTTTTAAGCAACAGAAATTCAGAAATTGGAGTTAGGCATCAAAAATCTTGAAACATGCTGATTTAGCCAGCAGAAATCGGATTTAAGCATCACATATCCTGAAATATAGGGCTTTTATTGGCTTTTCCCCTCCTGTTATTTGTTTCGTGGCATTTTTCAATCCATCCATAGAAGATATTCCCAGTGAAACCTCGATCGGTGATAAATCCCAGCTACTGTAGCCATGTCTGATGCCGGAGGGTAGATCAACCGGATTGGTAGCCATGGTTTTCGAAAGAAAATCGCCATCAATGGATATATTCTAAAGTAACTATTTGATATATTGTGGATATATGATATACCCATGATATATTCACCATGACAAATACCCATGATATATTCAATGGTTATATATACCATGGATTTGGGAGGAATAGTTTAAAGCAACATCAATTGAGAAGATTCACCAGAAACCTGGGAGATTTGGGAAGCCGCAACACTAAAGTAAATGGTAAAACTGGCATATTGCCTGGGTTTGTTTGGGGGGCTAATGGAGGTTTAGCCAATCAGTAATGGAGGCTTTATATAATCAGTGAACTGACTGGAAGTGCATCATGGTCTTCACAAGCATAAACTATTGGTTCAACATGGTTAAACCAACAAAAAGTAAGAAAAAAACACTGGGAATTCAGCAACTAACATGGGTATATAATGGTATATAGCCTTATATAGCTGATACAACCGGGTCAGTTTCGGGCAGTTTTTAACCGGGCAAGTTGTTTGGGTGAAAGGCGTCGGGAATTCGCTGAGCGGGGGAGTAGCTTCAGCGGAAAGGAGGATTTTTCGATAAATTTACCCTCTGGTTGTGACTAACATAGCCATGGTATAGGTGGCACATAGAAATAGATGGTTTAGCGAACTTAAAAATGGTGGAATTCTCCATGGCTATGTAACAAATAACCAGATGGTATATAGGATGTTCAACAGAAAACCTGGGATGATGTCAATAACTTGCTTCTGCAGCATTTTTCTATGTGGAGATTTCCTAGGTCATGGGGGGTACCCGAAACTGTCCAAGTCATGGATGCTCATTTTAGATCATTTTAGTATTGAAACCCATGGTGACGACTGGGGATCCCCCATTTAAAGAAACCCCCATTTTTTGCAGGTCCAACAAAAATTTCGTTGTCTGCTTGGGGTACTGTACCTGCACAAAGGACATGGATTTCCATCGATAGAATCTATAGAGCATTTCTTCATTGACTGGTAACACACGTGTTTTTGGCCTTGTCGATTTACCCTCTGGTAAACTAACATAACTATGGAAAATCACCATTTTTAATGGGAAAATCCACTATAAATTGCCATTTTCAATAGCTATGTTAAATTACCAGAGGGTAACCAGTGGTTTCCTTTGAGCTCAAGAAAAACCACGGCCGAAACACGGAGCCATATGGAGTTGAACACACCGGAAAAGGATCAGATTGGTTCTCCCTATTCGCAGACCAGTGCTTGCCAATTGAGGATTCTTTTCAGTATCTTTTTAGTTGGTTATTAATTTTCTTGCTGTTTATGGTTATTGATGATATGTCATTAATTATTAGGTGAAAGCTAGCAAAAACTAGCTACAGCCAACAATTATACCAATTTTTCTTGTTTGCTGCTGACATTGCTATGTTTTGGTGCCTTCCATTTTTGAAACGCTGACGCAGCAACTTTTAGGGCTTCCAAAATCAGGAAACCATGGGTAAGTCTGGGAAGGTGATCATGAAATCGATGCCCAGGATGAAGGTGCCTTGTATGAGGTCGGCTTCAGCCTGTTGTGGTCCTTCATGAAGCCTCCCGGTCACGGTCGTGGGGGCATGTGCGGGCCAGGTTGGTGTCCACTGGGGCCGGGTTTGCGGAACACCATTGTTTGACACATAACCAGGTTGGGTTATCCAAGCAACTGGCCGCCAGATAGGTTTTGGACAGCTTTTCAAATAGACGACTTTGGTGAGTGAGTTGCTACTGAACCCTATCTGGTTGGTGGTTTCAAACATGTTTTATTTTCCATTTCATATATGGGATGTCATCCTTCCCATTGACGAACTCCATCATTTTTCAAGATGGTTATTGCACCACCAACCGGCGATTCTCGGAAACGCTCACAGCGCTATGGGTCAAGAAAAGTTGCATTCCACTGTGCAGGACTTGAACCCATACCCATCGACTGAGCCCAGAATTGGATCAAGGAGATCTCATCAGGTTGGTGGTGACTGGAACCATGGAATTTTCCTGGTTAATCTTCCTGGTTAATCTATGGTTCATAATGGTTAATAATTGGAATAACAATTAATATCTGGTTGGTGGTGACTGGAACCATGGAATTTTGACTGACTTTGACGAACTCATATTTTTCAGAGGGGTAGGTCTACCACCAACCAGTCATAAAATCAGCAAACCGAAAGCCCCATGTTTAATACCCCCAGGCGATATTGCCCCCCAAAAGCCCCATAATGACCCCCAAAATGAAGAGATCCAATACTACCCAGGGTTTGTAGGGAGGTATTTGATACTAGGTATGAAGGGAGAAGGAATTCAAAACCAAAATTGGTGAAGTTTCCAATCGTTTTTCCAAACGGAAACCAAGCATACAGGGTGGTGCCCCCCAGTTATAAGTTTCGTTTCGCCCAATTCTCCAGTTCGATTAACATCTACCACAACCCCCATTTTCATTCACCATACCATCCGCGGCTCACCTGCTCAAGGTTCTGCTTCAATCACGTGGACGACATTTGGTGGAAAACCATCTTGGTGTTGCTCTTGGCCCCTGATCCGAATCTGGTGAATGATGTGAATGTGATTTTCTCTGCCTGAAAAAGACCATTTGAACATGAAAACTGTGAACACCAACATAAACCAGGGATTGGTAAATGTCCCATTTTTGGGATATTGGACACCACCCTTTACTGGCCATTATAGATGATACACCTCATGGTTGGGTGATGTTCAATTGGGACGTTCAATGACCCATGTAAACCAACCAACAACTCCATGAAACTCCACCTTTCACTGGCCGCAGCTTTGTGTTTTCTGTTGGTCGTCGCAGCGGGCTCGAGGCGAACTTGGGCAATGCCTATTATTTGGCCACCATCTTTATCAAGGTCCTTAGCAGAAATCCGCAGAAAACCGACCGCTTGACAACGGTAACTTCGGATTTACAACCAGCCTAACGTAGCTGACCGGGGAGGTAATCATCTAATCAAACGTTGCTGATCCGAGAAGACCTGAAACATGGGGTCATGATCCCAGCTGATTTATATAATTCATGTACATTTAACCAGAATAATGTTTTATTGATGAGGTTGTTACTGGGGTTTCAATCGTATTTGTAGCATTGATAGTAGATAGAGTTTGAAAATAAGGTAGAATTTGCTTTTTCACATTTTTCATTGGATAGACAGGATACATTATTATATACAATAAATATACAATAAATATAATGTACATGATGCCTGGTTGATGATGCTGCAGCCTACGAACTGGGACTGCCCATTTTACCAACTAAAAAATTAAGGTGGATTTTCCAAGACGTTTTTGACACGGTTCACTTGACACGGGTTTTTAGGGGGTCAAATTGGATGTTTTGAACCAGACTCCGCTTGCAAAGATCTTGGTAAAGTAAGAATGATAGAGTTTGAAACACCTGGAAAAACTGGTTCATTTCTGATAAATGAAATTTGCCCATCGTTTTGCCCAAGAACATTTTCTGATCATGGCAATGAATTTCAAGGTCTTTTCCTGATCCGTTGGTGAAATTGACCATCTTCGTAAACCAACTTTGGGGACTTGACTGCCATAGTTTGAGGTGCCTTTCTGAAATAGGCTTTTCACTGGTCCAAGTTGATTTGGGACTGGTTTCATCTCGTGGTGGTAAACATTTGATCACCAGCAATCACCAGCAGTTTTTTTCCATCAGAAATCTCGTTGTGCTGGCTGTGACATGTTCGATTTTGAGAGGGAAACAAAACATGAACATGTAGGCGCTTTGAAGCATGTCCGCACAATTTTCACACGTTTCCGCACATGTTCTCCGCACATGTAGGCTCCCCATTTCATGCACGTTTTCACAGCTTCAATATTGAACACAGGTTTTCACTGAAGTTTGCACATTTTGCGTGTTTATACACTTTCACATATTCTCACACCTTTTTGTCTCAACATCTCCAAGATCTTTGGAACTGAAACCATCGTCCAATGTTGAATGTTGGCTGGTACTCATGGCTGTAGAAAAAGATATCGACCCATCTCAACATCTCAGTGAAATCGACGAAAAACCCATCACTCCTGGATATGTCCATCGTTTTTGAGACGGTAAACTAACTCAACCATCCAATCTGGAACCTCAGACTCCTAGACGTGTTTGAGAGATCTTGGTGTCACGGGTCAATTTCCCCTTCATGTGGAGCAACAAAAATGCGTTTCTTCCTTGTCAAATCCTGATTTTTCAATGGAAACAGCACCATATTTGATGCTTGTACCCACGATTTGTTTTTGGAGTCACCGAAATGTGCGGGTTATCCCATTGTCTAAGTTCCCGTTTTGTACCCCCATGTGTTTTGGTTAAATCGCCATAAACATAGACATAGGTCACATTCATACAAGATGGTGGCCCCCAGTTTCAAGTTTATAAACACCACCAACAAAAAATAACTAGATATTTTCCATATCTATCATAAACCAAAGTTTTTGATCAAAAATAATCAATCAGCCATGTTCCACAGTTAACCTACAGCACCCCTTTAATCAATGGCCATTTCAGGAACCGATTGATTGAAGGTACCTACCATATATAAGGCCTATTTTTCAGTCCTAAATTTCAGGGAATATCCCCAGAAAATATGGCCAGAAATATGGTACATTTACGTACCTCCATATTTTAGGATCCTTTTTTATTCCCATTGACTATAGGATACTATAGGTACTGTATATCATAGATATATCTACCACAAATCCCATAAACCAAAGTGAGATCAATATATCAATCAGCCATGTCCCACAGTTAAGTCACCATTTATTACCCATGAAGTCACCATAAAACCCCCCATTAAACCCATGAAGTCACCATAAAATTCCCATTGACCATGATAGTAAACTTTTACCAGTCATTATTAACCACTATTCACCACTATTAACCATTATTAAACTACAGCAACCCTTTAAAGATCGGTCGGTCGCCAGGTCTACCTGATCGATACGGTGCTGAATCTCAAGGACGAGCACTCCGAGGAGCGCCTGTGGATCCATGGCGATCGCAACGCCACGGCCATTTGTTGCGCGGTGGAGCGGTGGGGACGTTCGTTTTTCATGGGGCCAAAATATGGCTGGTTGGTGATTAGTCTAGTTATAGATAGTTATAGAATGTTATAGATAGTTATAGATAGTTATAGATAGTTATAGATAGTTATAGATAGTTATAGATAGTTATAGATAGTTATAGAGAGTTATAGATAGTTATAGAGAGTTATAGATAGTTATAGAATGTTATAGATAGTTATAGATAGTTATAGATAGTTATAGATAGTTATAGATAGTTATAGATAGTTATAGATAGTTATAGAATGTTATAGATAGTTATAGATAGTTAGAGATAGTTATAGATAGTTATAGATACTTATAGATAGTTATAGATAGTTATAGAGAGTTATAGATAGTTAAAGAGAGTTATAGATAGTTATAGAATGTTATAGATAGTTATAGATAGTTATAGATAGTTATAGATAGTTATAGATAGTTATAGATAGTTATAGATAGTTATAGAATGTTATAGATAGTTATAGATAGTTATAGATAGTTATAGATAGTTATAGATAGTTATAGATAGTTATAGATAGTTATAGATAGTTATAGATAGTTATAGATAGTTATAGAGAGTTATAGATAGTTATAGATACTTATAGATAGTTATAGATAGTTATAGAGAGTTATAGATAGTTAAAGAGAGTTATAGATAGTTATAGAATGTTATAGATAGTTATAGATAGTTATAGATAGTTATAGATAGTTATAGATAGTTATAGATAGTTATAGATAGTTATAGATAGTTAATGATAGTTATAGATAGTTATAGATAGTTATAGATAGTTATAGATAGTTATAGATAGTTATAGTACTCTCCTAGTCCTCCATTTATTGATATTCATCTGGTTGGTGGTTTGGAAAGGTTTGGAACCAGGGAATTTTATGACTTCCCCAGTAGTTGGGATGATGATCCAATCTGACTAATATGTGGAATTCACCCAATGCCAGAAACTTACTTACTCAATGGCCATTTCAGGAACCTAAATTGGAGGTACCACCATATATAAGGCCTATATAAGGCCTGTAAGGGAATATCATGGAATATCATCACAAAATATGGCCTTATATGGTACAGTACCTCCATTTTAGGATCCTGAAATTCCCATTGACTTACTGGTTGGTGGTTTCAAACATGACTTTTATTTTCCATTTCATATATGGGAATAAAAATCCTTCCCATTGACGAACTCCATCATTTTTCAGAGGGGTAGGTCAGCCACCAACCAGATATGGGCTTAGGCTTAGTCTAGTTATAGCATCTTAGGTATTCTTAGGTGCTAAAGGTTCATTGTTGGGCAATGTATCACTACATATCACTACTGTTGTTGAACAAGCATGGTTTGACAATGAAAATCGTGGGAAATGGACACGGGATTTAGCAAAAATGTGGCGTCACCAGCAGAAATGGATTGGCTTCCGCCTGGAACTCACATGGTTTGGGTTTGGGTTCGGAAATCAAGCTCCACCATGGGCTTGATTTCCCAAAAAAAAAGCTGGTTTGGAGCATGAAAACTGGCGCTTCACAATAAATGGTCGTTGATATCTTTATGTGTACGGTATCTACATATTACATATACATATATGTATACATATATATATATATGTGTGTGTGTGTTACATATATATACACACTGTATATAAATATATATATATATATACGCACAAATGAGAAACCACCTAAATCGTTTCAGTTTTGTGAACTATGTGAATTCGGCTACGTTGATGGCCAATGTGGCATGGTTTCCCCTTCTGAACATTGACATGCAATCCCAACAAAAAATGCAAAGACGCAGATATCATCAAAAGCCTTGATTAATTAAATATTATCTTCAATAAACTTAAGATAAGGAATTAAACAATGTTTGTTCAACAATGAACCTAAGATACTGTAACTAGACTCAGCCTAAGCCCATATTTCTTCCATCCATTTCCCACTATTCATTGTCGAATCAACTCCCCCCCAGCAAACGAAACCCTGGAAGCATTGCTATCTCAAGGGGCCAGGAGACCTACAAACATGGATATAACTTCGATGCTCCCATAGTGAACTCTATACCCTCTGGTAAACATACAAAAAGCGAACTGGAAAATCACCATGTTATTCTTCGGTAAACCAACCAACGAACTAATCACCCATATATTTTCCATAGCAAACTGCTAGTTTACCAGAGGGTAGGGGTGTCAGTTTTCATATTCCAGCACGGAGAAGCACCCCAAGTTGAAGAAGCGCCATTTTCTGAAGGCAAATGGGTCGGAATTGTGGTGATAGCCTCTGGTAAACAAAAAAAATGGCCGTGGAAAATCGGAAAGCCCACCATTTGTAGATTATTCATGATTATTCATGATTCTTCGTAGGGAAAACATGGGTTCTCCACATGTAAACGTTTACCTACTAGGGTTTTCGAACATATTTGACTGGGATTCCAAGCCTCTTTTTTTGGCTCAGATAGTCTTGTCACCAACTGGAACAAAATGCCTCGCTGATTCGACAAATCACCTATTAAACATGGATCTTACCATGTTCAATGGATTGGTTTAGCATCCGGTTATGACTAACATAGCCATGGAAAATCCTCATTTTTAATGGTAAACCATCTATAAATGGACCATTTTCCATGGCTATGTTAAATAACCAGAGGGTAAGGGAACATTTACAGGAAAGCCCCACACAAAAAATGGGAAAATCACTGCTTTCCTGTAGATGTTCCCAAAAACCACTCCATTGACATATCCATATCCTACCCCATCCATTCCGACAAAAAAAACCATGTACCTCCAACATGAAACCTATGAATGCTACCCTCTGGTAAACTAACGTAACTATGGAAAATCACCATTTTCAACAGCTATGTTAGATTACCAGAGGGTATTTGATCCAACAGTTTGGAGCAAGAAAGCAAGTGATTCACACTTCTGTAGTGATAATAACAACTCCAATTCAGAATGGGACATTTTGTCGAACAACACGGGCATGGATGTTTGATTTCCATGGCACCTTAGATATCCTTAGCCTTAGAGGCAGCCAACTCAGGTTACAGTTGGTAACGGCAATGGAACATACCCGATATCTGTAGATGATTGGACTTTCATGGCTTTCCAATGGTTTCCAATGTAAGGCACTGGACTTTTCCCGGGAATTCGGGATCGCATTTTTGCAATCTGTCAGATGGCGCAAGTAGGAACCTACTTAGTAACCCTAGTATATCTCATATGATTTCAATAAAAAATGGAGATTCATGTTGATTCTACTACCATTGACATAGTATATCATATAATATTTCCACTAGTATCATTCCTTTTTTTCTAGCTGATATGTTATTAATTACACATGACATCCCCCAGATGGCTTCCCAGGTTTGGGTCTGGCCTGGGTCTTGCCCAACCTGATTCTCTTGGGCTCGGACTACTTTGAGATGAGAGTCTTGGAGATGGGCTTCAACATTCGCCACTCAGATCGAAGCCTCAGATCGAAGCCTCAGATTTTCTGGTGATCATTAAAAAAACAGGGCTTAATAGGGGTTAATTAATAGGGTCAATGACAATAGGGTTAATTTTTGGGATTTTCCGAAAGATTTTCTGATGTTCCAGCGGAACATGATGGAACATGGCCCATTGATAGATGAGAAATATTATATGGGTATGGATCAATACCTATTAATACCATTTTTAGGGGGATGAACATCCATTTACCAGCTATTTTGATGTGAACAGAAGGGGTACAAGGTTTTGACACACTGCCATATATATATATATATAACTCCATGATGATTTACCTTTTACCTACGCCGATCACCTCAAGTCAGTGACGAAAAATGGGAAATCCATGGGAATTTATAACCCGCACTCTGGGGATTGGTTTGGGATGGGTTTCATGGACTTTGGGGATTTTTCATTTTTTTTTGGTGGGAAAGCGACTAAATGGATGGACATCTTCGTCACGATTTTGGTCAAACATGGGAATATCACCATAAGAACTATGGGATATTTGGGTAAACCAACTGGCAATGGGTAGACGGGTAGATTATCTATGATATCTAGTACAATTTAATCTCTTTTATATCTTTCTAGAAAATTATGATATGTACTCAGCAGCTAAACAAAGTATCTTCTTGAGAGTCATGTCATGTCTGGCTAAACAAGTTGGTCATAGCCGCAGGTTTTCATATGCAAATGGAGGAGTCATTGCATATACCACGTGGTTATGTAACATAGCCATGGAAAACCCTTATAAATGGAGGTTTTAATGGGAAAATCATCTATAAATGGGCCATTTTCCATGGCTATGTTAAATACCAGAGGGCAGATCCTAAAAGCTGGTGTTTTCGGATAAGTTTTCAACCGCCGACCAAAAAGATATCTACCCGGCCTGGTAAACATACAAAAAGCGACATAGAAAATGGCCCAGTCGAAATAGTTGATTTTCCCAGCTATAAAATGGTGATTTTCCATAGTTATGTAAACGTTTACCACAGGGTATACCATAATCACCACAGTTAAATCGAGCAATTTAGCGATGCCATTTAGAGCTCACCTTGACACGTGCTGCCCGACTTCGTTGGCTTTTTTGGTGATTTGCAACTGGCGAAAAGTTAGATGGGATTTGTGGTAGATATATCTATGATATACCTATAGTATCCTATAGTCAATGGGAATCCAGGATCCTAAAATGGAGGTACGTTAGTACCATATAAGGGCATATTTTCTGGGGATATTCCCTTACATAGGCCTTATATAGGCCTTATATATGGTAGGTACCTTCAATTTAGGTTCCTGAAATGGCCATTGATATAGTTAATGGTGGTTATGAACCAGCAAACATAACTGGAGGTAGCACATCCCATTCAACCCAATCCCAGCGATCAAGGGAGTTACCAGAATTGTAATCTGAGCTGGGAATGGATGGGTGTCTGAAAATGAGATATACCCCAAACCCATATGCTCCATGTATGGTATATTTACCTACAAAACTGGGTCATTTTTAGGGTAAATGTTGGTAAATATTCCATACATAGAGCTTTTTGGAAATATACAATGGGAAACGCGATGATTCACAAATAGATTTAGGGGTAACCCACTTTTCAGACAAACCCGGATATCTCCAGATATGTGAAACATATTATTTGCCTATGATAAATGTCATGTTTGAGCACCAGAAAGTAGCACCTCGATTCTTCGGTAGCTCGGTTTTCGTTTTTGCCCATTATATCGGATCGGCGGACCCATGGACCCTGCGCAAAAAATCCATTCCGAATGACGAGGTTATCACCTGCGCGTGAACCTCTTCAGGAAGTATTTGCGACTTGACTCACGAATGTTTTGGATGATGTGTATCCTTGGACTGTTTTTTCTGAAAAGTGGATATTCCGAGTTTCATAGCAAACTTGGCGCAGCGTTTGACATCAGTCAAATTTGATTTGTAAGAACTTGAGATCGCTTTTCATCTAAATCACCATTATATCAATCAGCATTTAATTCGAATCTCTTTTGAACCATCTGGGTTTGGCGGTCATGGGTTGGCATAACAGCAGATGGAGCACCGCTCCTGAGGAAGTCTCAATTTTGGGCTCAATGTCACTACATGTTTGGTTGCCAGGGCTGAAGCATTCTCCTTTTAAATCACCGTGGTGCAACAATCGGTCCTCTTTCAATGTTTTTTTTCGTTTGAAGATCGATGTTCTCATTATTCTTTTGCGATTTTGATCATCGAATGTAGTTTAAGAAATGCCACACTACTCCCAGTGAACATACACCGGATTTATATGGATTTATTACGTTGCTGGTTCACTTTCAAAGAATGCAAACCACAACTAAACCTCAGAATGCATTGCTTAACAGTCTCCCTGTCTGGCACTCTGGGTTTCTCGGCTTCCCAAGGAGGTACCATATGTACAATTTTTGTGGCCATAGTGGGGAGGTTTTTTTGCCTTCACATACTTGGATGATCTTGGATGTGACAGCCAAAGTGATTTATAAATGTTTATACCCTCTGGTAAACTAACATAGCTATGGACAATCACCATTTTTAATGAGTAAATCCACTATAAATGGCCATTTTCAATAGCTATGTTAGTTTACCAGAGGGTAACCCAGAAATGAAGCATACATAACTGGGGATATTCCATTACTCTAAGTAAGTTATAGCATTTCTTATTACATGTCATTACCCACTTTGGAACTGTGATCCACCCCCACGTGGATTTACACCCAAGTAGATGTCAATTGATTTTGATTCAATAAACACTGCTATGGGTAAGACATGATAATTTAATCATTGAGTTTTTTCACCGTATATTTCAATTGATATGGTTTTTGATATGAGTTTGACGCGAATTCAAGAACCATTGATATATCATTTTTCCATAACACATCCACATTTCGATCGATTTCAATATATACTGTATATATACATACATACACATATACATGCACATACACATCATGTATATATATATATATTTATACATATACATATATATATATATATTATACACATGATATCTATATCATTGAATCCATGGCTTTTCATATACATTTCAAGAAAGCTGTGGGAACTGATGAACTGAACCCAGCGACATACTAAGGCGATATACCAAGGAGTCCCGAGCGATGGTGCCGATTCAGGAGCCGGGGATCAGTTGCCCATGAAATCACCTGGAAATAGCTGGGATTTAATGGGATTTAACGGGATTTAATGGGATTTAACGGGATTTAATGGGATTTAATGGGATTTAACGGGATTTAATGGGATTTTATGGTGACTTAATGGGTTTTTATGGTGACTTAATGGGAATGAATGGGATCTTTCATGGGAATTTACCCCTGGTAAATTTTCACAGTTTGACCCTGAAAATCACAAGTTTTTAATGGAAACTCATCTTCCAACTCCGATGACTGCCAGGGTCTATGTTGATTTAGCAGAGGGTATAGATCTCAAATATTTAAATCACCTATGAGCTGGAATATAACTGAATATAGATCTCTCAAAGATTTGAGATGAATCCAAAGGCTGTCCTTTTCACCCTGAAAATCAGTCCTTTTTTGTACTAATATGACTTTGAGATGAATCCAAGAAGATGGATTTCACCAAAAGTGTGGAAAATCAAGCAGCATTGGCAACTGGAGCAAAAAAGATGTGGACGTAACCGCATGGAAATGGTGTTCTTAATTAAACACCCACCAACATCCCAAACTGAACTTGGCATACAACTACCGGATCCAAAAGTGGTTGCTTATTTGAAGCTTTGAAGTACCTAGTTCAGGGGCGTAGAATTTCCCAGCCACGGACATGGCCAACCAGAATGAAGTTGCAGAGATGCCATGGCTCATGGGGTTCATCTTGTCACCCAATGCTTGGCGATATCAATTTTCTTTCCCTTTGGTGACAGCATCAGTTTTTGTTTGATTCCCCATGTTTTTTTTTTTCGACTGCTAGGCCCCTGGTTTGTCACATTCCCCATATCTGGTCATTTAATGTACCATCTGGCTATTTAACATAGTGGTGATTTTCCATCTATAAATGGGCAATTTTCCATAGTTATGTTACTTTACCAGAGGGTAACTATGGATTTTCACCGTGTGAAAAATAGCTACATCTATATATGAGCGGGCCATTCTCCTTAAAGCTTTAAGTGACATTCCCGGAGGCTAGAAGGTTGAAACAGCCGCCGGTTGGTGGTGACTGGAACATGAATTTTCCTGGTTAATCTATGGTTAATAATTGGAATAACAATATATATCTGGTTGGTGGTGACTGGAACCATGGAATTTTGAATGACTTTCCACATATTGGGAATGGAAAATCATCCCAACTGACTTTCACTCCATCATTTTTCAGAGGGGTAGGTATGAAAAAACCAACCAGCAGCTTTTTGGAGATCCTCACTGCAGGATTTGAAGATTAGCATCATGGAAGACATCCCGGATATGGCCGCGTGTCTGATGGGATCGTGTCGGAGTTTTTCACCTATTTCGGGCTTCAAGGCCGTAAGATAATAGGGAAATCATAGGGAAACACTAGGGAAATTAGAAATCATAGGGAACACTAGGGAAATTAGAAATAATAGGGAAACACTAGGGAAATTAGAAATAATAGGGAACACTAGGGAAATTATATAGGGAAATAATAGAGAAATTTTCAACCAGATGGAAACAGTTGGCTTCAACCAACAAGACAAGAATGGGGTGAAAAATCGACCGCTCGATGGCCTGGAGGGACTGGAGTCCCCCAAAATGGTGATGTCTTCTCTGGTAAACGTACAAAAAAACTACATGGAAAATCACCATTTTTCATGGGTAAATCCACTATTTCGACTGGGCCATTTTCAATAGCAAACTGTTAGTTTACCAGAGGGTATCTGATGATGAAGCGTCAATTCTTGGGGTAGCCCGTTTTCAGACAAAGCGATGTCCATTTGGGATTTATTACTACAATCCTGTAATTTCTAAGGTATGATTCTCATCACGATGGATGTACATAACGGTAACGTGATGG